AGCTCTATGAAAAGGGCGAATGTTTTAATAGATTCTTGCTTTGATGACCATCAAAGAGTTTGAAAATGTTGAAAGATGTTTTTTCATTGTGTAATTGCTACAAATAATTACAATTGCGGTGGACAGCAGTTCCTGCAAATAAAATTGCCAATCAAATCTAATGGCCACACGTTGTTATAAAATTATATCTTACAGAATTAGATTTATTTGATATTTCAAAATTGTGTGGTGTTTAGGGCTGTGCAGCGGAACTGGTTACTCGACTACATGTATTATTATTATTATTATTATTTGTGGTTTATTAAAACACTGCTTATAGCAGCCCACAGGCTGAATTACAAAAAATTAGATGAGGTTAAAATCACAAAGAGTAAACGGTAAAAACAAAGGAAAATTGTAAGTACAAAAAATATAGTATACATATCAAAAATTGCACAGAAAAACAATACATGTACTATGCTAAAAAGAACCGGTAATTTCATTGGGCTGGTGGGAGTGAACTGAGTGCGCTATTAACAAGTCTGTTGAGATATGGGACTGGGCTATTATAAAAGGGCAATTCCACACCAAAGTGGACATGACACCAACAAATTCAAATACATGTGACTTAAACAAATTTGGCATCAAATGAAAGCTAAAAGTCTATATTTTCAAGATTTGAAGTCGGAATTTTATTTTTTATACATTTCGGTACCAAAAAATAGGATTATGTAATAATCCTGTTTTAATCCTAAAAATGTGATTAATAGTGATATGAAAGTATTCTACCAAAACACACACAAAAATATGTACTAATGCCATCAGTTTCTGTCATGAGAAAGTATTGGTCTTGAAAAACTGACTAAAACTTGTTTTTAACATTTTGCATAATTTGCTTCGCTTCAGTGACTTCTAATATTTCAGCCTTCGAAAATGTCCTTCCGTTACCGAAAAAATATGTATATTTTTAATTTATTTTTAAAACTTGTAGTATGAATGCATTGAAAGTTATTGTGCAAAGCAAGTTTAGGTAGGCCTTCAATATGACATTATAACTGACACTGCTGTACTTCTCGTTTTTTAATTAAAATTAATTAAATCACGTCCTTCCGTTACCAAATTGGTAACGGAAGGACGGTAACGGAAGGACGGTAACGGAAGGACAAATCGTATTTTTATCAAATGTTACGACATTTGCGCTCATGTTTGAAAAATGAAAATCACTGCAAATACATGCATGTATAAGGAGCATTGAAAGGACATTCATGTGACCCACTTTCACAAAAGCGGGATAAGCAGGGCAAGGTGTTTATTACAAAGAAAGGCACAGGCATGTACAACATGTACAATGTACATGTACATATATGCCGATGTACCAGTACTTGTACATGTATGGAGTTGTTGCAGAAAATCAAATCATAAAGTTGCTGTCATCAGCATTCATGGACAATAGAGAAAGATACAAATTCTGTGAAGCCATTCCAGAAGCAAATTAAGTCAAAAATGAGATGGCAGAAAGTACCGGTACTTATGGGCACTTTCATTCAATTTACATGTGTAAGACATGTGAGGTGCAATCTTTGACAAATTATGCCCAAGTTAACAATTTCAGTTTGGATGTTTATAAATTAATTGTTACTACTCTAAATCATTGTAATTTGATTTCAAACATTGATTTTAGAGTTCAATTAAAAGCAACACCTAACTGAAGCCATCAGTTCTACCGGTAGATGTTTTTACCTTAAATGTACATGTAGGCTGGTCGCCCCCCCCCCCCCCTTCACCCTTTAGGTAAACCACTGAACCTACCGGTATTATTATTAAAAGTTGTTAGTGAACATGTAACCAATATACTCAAGTGCTCAAAAACTGTGTATTTAAACTTTTAAGGATTGAGGTGATGGGTTTGAAGTCCATTTCTGTAGTTGTCTTGTGTTCGTGAATTATGTGTTTTGGGTGGTTTTCGTTTTTCTTTTATCATTAATTAGCAGGCTTCTATCTTTATCTCAATAGTTTCTTGGGTATAATTATTTATGCCAGGTCCACATATTGTTGATTTCACATTCAGTTACACATTTCAGCAATTTGTTTCACTTGTATAATTAGTGTAAATTCACATTTTGTTCATGCTATAATTGAGTAAACCTTTTGTCCTTCCGTTACCGTCCTTCCGTTACCAAATCATAATCTGCCTAAAACGTTGTAATTATATTACCGAAACACTTAAAGTCAAATGAAAGGCGGTATAGTATAGATAAAGCTTCAGGGATTCCATTTCCTACCTTTAAAATATAATTGCCCCATAAAATTCACAGAGTTTACGCAAAACGTGAGTAAGTTGGAAAACCCTTGTCCGTTTTACCGTCCTTCCGTTACCGACCTCATTAATATTCATAATTCATAAACGGGAGGCATTCATGCCCCCCAAAAGTGTGGAAAATGAAAGTAGCATTATAGCAATACAATTGTGACATTTGTTTGCTGTAACTATGAACAGTGTCTGTGATACACACATTTGAAATTTTGTTTAATGAGTGAAAACGTCCTTCCGTTACCGTGGAATTGCCCAAAAACGGGTTGTTTTACAAGATGGAACATGAAGTGTTCGTTTGGACCGGAGATTCATAGTATGGGTGCTTTTAGATTTGACAAACCACTCATTGAATTTGCTTGAGTTAAAGGATTTCATTGCAAATTTGTTACAAAGGGAGGTTCTGCGCATGTCCAAGGGTTCCAAACCAAAACTGGTCAAAGCTTGTTCATATCCAGTATATTTTTGACCCAATATAATGTGGCACACTCTTCTTTGTACTGATTCCAATAGATTAGAAAGAGTTGTGGTGATGCCCGAGTGCCACAATGGGGCAGCATATTCTATAACAGGCCTAATATAACCTTTATACACGGTCACAAGCTCTTTGTCAGTTAACCCTGTCATTTTGAGTTTCCTAAGCATGAAAAGTTTCATGTTGGCTTTTTTAACAATCTCCATGACATGGGCATCCCATTTTAAGTTGTTTTGCAATGTAACACCTAACAACTTCACACTGGGAACCTGTTGAAGATGAACATTAGAAATGGAATATTGAACGAAGGGAGGATCTTTTTTCTCTATTATTATTATTATTATTATTTATTCGACCCAAACGACATTTCAAACTTACAACATATCACAAAAATACAAAGGCATAAACAATCAAATGAGAAAAAAAAGTATGACCAGAAAACAAAATAATTAAACTAAATTATACAAACGAGATAAAATAAGTAACAGGATGGGGGTCATGAACAAATACAAGACATAAACAAAAACAAATATAATAAAAAACACACAAATTACACAAACGGGGGTCGGGGAAAGTAAAAGTAAACTTAATTACTGTTACCCGCAGGTATGCATTCCCGCACATATTTTAACACTATAACAGGGACCAACCAATGTGAAAAACCCACAACATCACCGAAAAACGTGGCCCCCCATGCACATGAACAGATTCGTGATGGCACAATTATTGGGATCAGTTACATTATTTCTAGGAAGAATGACTGTTTGAGATCTCTAAGAAAGTCAGGGAGTGAGTTGGTGACAGCAGAGTCCTTGATGTGGGAGGGTAAAGCGTTCCAGAGTCGGGGGAATCTACGGGAGGGAGAGTGAAAGAGAGCTTGAGTTACGGGCAGGAAGGTGAGGGAATGTGGGTGAATCAGGGTGTCTTGGATTGATGAAAGACTTGGATTGATGAAAAACTCAAGTATGGAATAGAGTACCTGTAGCCAATTTTACAAACTACATAGTAACTTTTCAGATGATGAAAGTGAAAGGTTTTGATGGTCATTTGTTGGGAATTTTCAACATGAAACCAGCTACATTTGTACATAGGAAAGCAAAATATATTTTAAATTGATGACACTCGCGAATTTGCAGTTTACACCTAAAAACAGAGCTCACTATATTGCTGTGGCACTCACTAATGTGGCAGCATTTATAGTGCAGACCTTCATGAACATGCGCAAAAGGAACCTCTGAGATTTAAACTTTGGGGTCGGGTTTCTTTAACGGGTACCCGGGTGGGTTTTTTTGCAATTGGGTACATGTACCTGGCTCCCAAACTACTCATAAACGCACAGCCCTAGTAGTGTTTGGAACTGCCATGGAGTTGAGAGCGCTGTGCACATGAGTATTTAAATTAAATTGACTCCTACGTCATAGGTCAGTTGACCATTGAATGCACAGGTGTTTTCAGACTCTTAATCAGCAGTGAGATGTTTTGAAGCTGTGTTTAGACTAGTGCAGGGGTTGGCAGAAGTTGGTACTGAACCTACAACATCTGTTGTCAGAGGTTTAGGAGCTTGCCCTAAAAGTGGTGCGGCGACGCGGGGTGGTTTTTTTTCCTACTTTTTTTCTTCTTCAAATGTTGGCTGATGTTGCTGATGACGCTTCGATCCCCTTTAAACATGTTAAACTCCCAAAAATATCCTTCAGGCCATAAGGCTTGAGAATTCTGCACCCACTAACGATCTCGACCGACATTCTTTGGGAAATTTGGATAGTCACTCAAAAATCAGAGAAAACGGTAATGTAGGATCTTTGCGTCAGACCAAAGCGACATCGTGCATGAGCTGCCAGGCTGGTCATTAGTCTGCTCCCTTACAAATTGAGCTAATTAAAAAGCGTTTACAGGTAACAGATACACGACCGTTGCTCCCTCATTCTGGCTTCCAGAAACACAATTACAAAATTACATCACTGCCTACAAATGGTGCCCAACTAAATTTAGTGCACAATATATGGGAGCGTAGAAAGGCAACATAGAGCATATACTCGATCGTAACCCCATCTAAAATTGTGCAGCAGCAGGATTCCAATCAAACCAGTGAGTTTGGCGATTTTGAGACATCATCTTACATTGAAAATTTTTTTTTTTAAATTTTGCCGACATGTACGGCTACAGCGACGCGCGCACGTACCAGAAACCGAAATAGGGGTTTATTTGACCGTTTGTCTTGTTCTTGTCTCACTGCAGATGGCAGCTACCCGCCGCCCCAGGGCCAGCCAGGATACGCCCCACAGGGCCAGCCAGGATACGCCCCACAGGGCCAGCCGGGTTACCCCCCACAGGGACAGCCTGGGTACCCCCCACAGGGCCAGCCTGGGTACCCCCCTCAAGGCCAGCCCGGTTACGCCCCACAGGGCCAGCCAGGTTACCCACCACCGGGCACCGTAGGTTACCATGCAGGCACCACTGTGGTGACCGCCCAGCCTGCTGTCACTACCGTCATTCAGCAGTCATTCCGGGAGTTCCCTGTCCAGTGCCAGTGTCCCAACTGTCACAATCAGGTGACCTCTCAGGTGACCTACGTCACGGGGACCCTAGCCTGGCTCCTCTGCCTGATCATGTTTTTCTTTGGGTGAGCAGTTTTTTTTTAACCACATTTGCAGACCACTGTGTTTCAAGTACAATAATACGAGCGTTGATGACCCTTCGGTCACCGCGTTCTTGACAACTCCAACTTCCATGCTTTGTGCATTTCCTGGTGTGAAGTCATGCATAATTCATGGCACACCAACATAGCAATAGCGACGGCTGCCTCAATAATTTATCGGGTAGGCAGAAGAAATATAAGGAATATGGCAAAAGTCAAAGTGATTGAACGAACCGGCAGCTTAAAGACCATAGAAGCGAACTTAAAAAATAAATGGAACTAGGCTTGGCTACAAGATAAAGATGACAACGGGGACTTTGTGTCGGACTCAGAGTGGCTTTTTCACACACGAAAAATTTCTGGGTTTTTTTCAAGCAGCCGTTCCGGATTTTTCAAGCAGACCCAGTTCCGGGTGGTTTTTTTTTCAAGCAGACCCTTTGGCATCTCTGGGTAACAGAAAGAGAGTTAGGAGGGACTTGAATGCATATCCACCATACGCCTGGTGCTCACAAGAAGAAGATTCAGAATATACTTGATCGTGCATAAGATTGTAATTGATCTTGCATTCTTCGTGCCACATGCGGGAATTGATGCTCCATATGGCCCTCCCAGGAAGATCTCTAAAGTGTCACAAAGCCCCATCTGCTGGTCGTGCACAGAGTCCATTGGTCAAAGGTCTGTTGACTCCCCAAACTATTTTTGCAAGGCAGCTTTTTAAAGCCTAAATCCATTGAAATCCTACCAAAACACTACAGTAAATCAGATAAACTTTCTTTGTACTTAAAGGGAATATACAACATTTGCAAACATCAAAAAACAAAAACTTTGTACCAAATTATTATGAAATACCTTACTGTTAGTGAATGACGGTCTATAGCCATGTCCGCACTGGCCTTTTTTTTTTGGAAGGTTTTACCGAGACGATGGTAAAATGAGAAATGGTCAAATGTGACCACTGTCTGCACTTGGACTTTCGACACGGGAAATTTTACCCAGACCGCGTGGGAGAATTTAACCGAGCTGTCACTGTGTCAGTATAATTACTCACCGTACGCAGAAAACAAACTGCCGATCACATTTTCAGCCTCCGAAACGCACATTCATATTACACATGCACACGCCATTTACATGCACAACATAATCGTTAACACGATATTATTTCATCTTGACACGCTATATCTTGACGAAAAACCCTATATTTCTGACACATAATGATGGAAGCCATGTGCGCTGTACGATGTTCCGTGCGGCAGCAGTGCCATCGGTATTTGTTGGTTCCCATCGCTAACAGAATCAAAGCTATGATGTAGGACCGGAACCAGTGACTACGGCCTACGTACGGTACCGGACCATGATGCGCCGTGCATGACTACAGCAGCCTAACATGACGAATTTGGATCGTAGAAAATACCTAACAAACATCGGTGGAGAAAGAGAATTTCTGCAAATTATTTCCCACAATGTGATCTCTCTTTTCTGTGTATGTATTTCTCCGTTGAAATATATTTGTAACGAGATTTTACTGCTTGGACTTGATGATACATCGCAGCGTGTTTCTACAAAATTTTCGGCCACTGCACGTGCAGGTTCGTGCGCTCTCTGTATGCATAACAGGGTGCTCGGGCCGGATGTACGCTTTCCCAAGCCACTTTTACCGACTCGCACTGTCCGCACTGTACTTATTGTCTCGGGAAAAGTGACCTGGTCAGTTTTCCTGGGCACCTGGTCAATTTTCCTGGGCAGCAGTTGGCCAGTAAAAGTAACCGCTGGACTCAGGAAAAGTAACTGAGAGGAAAACGTCCTAGGCTGTCCGTACTGGACTTAAAATGGGAAAAGTACCCATAGTCTTGGTTAGTTTGACCAAAAAAAGTCCAGTGCGGACAGGGCTTAAATAGGCCATCAGCCTGGGGGTTTGGTCAGTATCAAATCAGGGCATAAATGATTATAGTGCGCATGCGCAAGGTATACCACCCCTAGAGTGGTAACAAGCGTTTTGATGGACATTTTTTTTTAAATGGTGATTACACCCATAAAGGTGCCATCGCTGCAATGCTATCACATATTTTCCAACTCTTGAGGTGTATACATGTACCTTGCCAAAAATCGCTATGATGATTATTCCGCTCATTTGATACCGGTGGCAAACATTTTGGACCGAGGCTGATGGCCTAAAAGCATCCTGTAAAATCATGGCACCTGGTATGCTGTCATTTTCAAGAAAAGTGGTATTTTTGTAAAAAAAAATTTAAAAAAAATGCCTTTTTTTTCAAATACTTCCCCCAAATTTACAATTTAGTAAGTCTGCATTTTGTTTGCAATCGATTACACACCTGTGAATGGGAACAAGCCAGCTAGACTGGTTCCCTGACCTTACAATTCCCCGACGTCTATCAATTGCTCTGTTTCATCTTAAGTGGGGTCAGGAAACCAGACTGCAGGAACATTACTGTTTTTCTTGTGTTTCCAGCATCTACGAGCACAGACCTTGAAACAAGTCAGTGTAACAATATTTGCTACAAATACTAACCCCCAAATCCATCTATTTCTGAAAATGTCAGCAAAAGCAAATGTTGTGTGTTCCCTTTAAACAAATTGGGAACCACTTTTCCATTCTTCCTACTCGGCAGGTTGTGGATCTGTTGCTTCATCCCGTTCTGCATCGACAGCTGTCAGGATGCCATTCACAACTGCCCGGTCTGCAAGTACCAGTTAGCCACCTTCAATCGCATGTAGACACCCAGCAGCATGGGCTGTGAGATCACAAGAAAGGTTCTCCCCTCCCCTTCATCCTTTCCCTCCCTCAATCCAGACCTTGCATGGAACATCTCAAAACTTGGAGCACTTGGAACATTCCATGTGCAGTGGCACCAGTTCAAATTAGGGTACGCACAAGGTTCTCAATTAGAACAGTCTTGGAAAGAAGCTCATGAGTTTGTTTGTCTGATAAAAGAAAACGCAGCTGTGTACGCTTACTTTGGACTGGCCTGTTGTTGTGGTGGAACACCAGAGTTGTCAACAAATTATCACAAGTCATCACAGGTCAATCACAAGTCATGATAGTCTGAAGTCAAGTGACAAGCTAGTGTATAGTGACAAAGGCATTCCTTAGTCACTTTGCATCCCCTGTCTCTTATGACCCAACGTGTGATTTGACTTGTGATTACAACGCGATTACAACTCTTCTTTGGCAACATGGTGCAGTGTTGCCAGGAAAGCAACATGCTCACAAACCAAGATCCGTGTTTTGAGATTTTTCCAAATGGAGGTTATTGTATTCTTAATCACCGTTTTTTTGTTTTTTTTAATCAAATTTAACTTTTGTGTAGGTCTGATCTCATGTCCCCTTAATAGGCATAATTTCCCTGGCGCCTATCCAGTCAACCCAGTCAACAGCCCGTTGAAATTTTCTCTCCCATGTCAACTACATTGTTTGTCCAGGCCAAACTTTTCAAAAGAGGAAGGAAGTCATCCTGGGGAAAAAGAAACAATTATAGGGAGTGGTTTCTAAGGAAAAAACAGAGAGTGTTTTTCTTTGGTTTACTGACCTCTTGTTCACATTGAATTTAGTTTGGATATTAGCATATAGTTTTTTACCATAAAAATGGTTTGGATGCAGTTGTTTCCAGTACTATGTAAGGAAAATTGTTTTCCTGTTGGATAAACAACCAACCTGCCAAATTGCAGACAGATTTTTAAAAAATGCAGCACGTCTTTTAAAATATCCGTTCAGTGATTTTTCACTTGATGAGCAGGACTTCGTCCAAATATTGAAGCTTCATTGCATTGTGCAGTTCATTTGAGCTCTCTCAAAAATGACAAAAGTCCAATAAAAAAAACCTCTGATACTTCCCTGGAAGAGACCATTTCCGACCCCCTGTTGATGTCAGATTTTGATACTTCAGCCTGTTCTGTAATCTTGCTAAATCTTGCTTATAATCTTGTTATAATCACACAACTCACAACGTTTGCAAGCACTTGGAACTGGGAACTGTCCAAATTGAGGATGCCAATACACATTGCACAAATTATAAAATTGTATTTTGTTCTTAATACTTGTTTTTGTCATGAAATTACAAAAATATAGTAAAAACAATATAGTGATCATGGTAATTAAATGAAGGTCTGATTTTTTTTTTTATCATTTCTCCTTTTTTAGACAGCAAACATGTATAAGTTTTCTTGCATTTAAACTGAGGTGTTTCGAGCAAGTCTAACTAAAAGTAAGTAAGTCGTAGTTTTAAGCTGTTTTAATGGATTTAAGTGTAACTCAAATGTCTAGTCGTAATGAATGGTTTGCTAGTGTTTTTTTTTAGAGTAGAATATATGAGCTGTTACGCATGAGCGTTTCTCACGCATCGTGCGCGCGGCGTGCAATACTAGATCAAAAGGGATGGGATGAAAATGCATGGTGAATGGAACCAAAAATGCACAGTTATGACGTAGGCCGTGCAAAGGTTCGATTAATGAATACCGCGTGACCTACAATCCTCCAATCAAATGACAAGGATTTACTTGGGTGCTATATACAATCTATTATGAGTTACAGATAAAGCCAATATTACTTGTAGTTCCACAAAATTATGAACATGTGTTTATTAATGGTTATAGTACATTGTAGTATAGTCAAACAGGATTCTCGCATGAGTGCTTAATTGTCTTAATATGAGAAACATTTTACGATTTTTTTTTTTTTTGATTCCAGTTTTTACTAATTTTTAACAGCATTTAAAAGTCTCAACTATCCCAACTAAACATTTCTTCATGTATTTATTTATTTTTATTTTTTTTATGCAGGCTTTTTTATCAGGTTTATTTTGTTTTTAATGATATTCTTGTGGGAAAAAAATATTAGTATTCCAACTTGCAGGGTCATGCACTAGAAATACAAATGTTTATTCTGAAATGTTGAATTTTGCATTGTAGCACACGTGCATCGGTCTTTTACCAGTTTTATTTTTGATCTTGTTTTCTTTTTTACCTTGAAATTCGTGCTCTGAAAAAACAAGGAGACTTTCTTTATTTGAGTTCTCTCCGCATATTAGTTACCCAAATACTTGTTTTATTTTACAGCACATTAGATCGTTTATTTTTGTATGCTTCCGGGGTATCTCCATTTTCACCAAATATCAATGTACATGTATTCAGGTTTTTTATCTGTGTAGATTTTCAAAGTATTTTAGTGGCTTTTTGTCCTTAAAAAAAGACATGTATAAATAATGTATCTAAATATGAATGTCATGCATGCTATAGATTGCAGTTTTCAAAAAATCAAGTAGCATGCTACATACATGTGTAGCATGCTACATGTGTAGCATGCTACATGTACTTGATTTTCTGAAAACTGCAATATTTAGCCAGTGTCCGTTTGGTTAGCAAAAGGATACACCATGTTATTTTTTAGAGGCTTGGACTGCTTGAGTGTCAAGAAAGTGAAGCTGAATTTGAGAAGGAGATCGAGTCACATAAAACAGTGGATTTGTCGGTTTGTATTTACATCGTCATTTAGAACTTTTTTGGGCAGATCACACACGTAGCTTTTTAAGGGGCCGTATCATAAGTCCAACACCTCATAGGTCCGACGCCTCATAAGGCGTCAGACTTATTAGGCATAAATTCCACCTCATAGGTCCGACGCCTCATAAGTCTGACACCTCATAAGTCCTACAATGGACAAACGCTGTCTCAGACTTATGAGGCATCGGAGCTTTGAGGCGTCGGACTTACGAGGCATCGGACTTTCGAGGCGTCGGGGCTATGAGGCGTTGGACTTATGCGGCGTCAGACCTATGAGGCGGAATAAATAATTTTTGTGCCTCATAAGTCCGACGTCTCATATGTCCGTCGCCTCATAAGACTGAAATTTTGGACTTACGAGACGTCGGACCTACATGTATGAGGCGTCAGACTTATGAGCGGTCCCCCTTTTTAAAATGGGTAATCTGCAGTCTAACCTGCTAAATCTAACAAAATCCAACATTTGAGATTTTGACGTAGGCTTTGATTACAAGCGTAAACTGGCCATGCCTTGAAGCGTTAGTTCAATTTCTCCACAATGTATTAAAAGTTTGAAAGAAATCACTTGCTGTTGGATCTCCCGTTAGGGTTAATTGATTTTCTTTTAAATTATGATATTGAAGTGAGATTGGTTTGATAGCTTGCGATTGATTATGCAGTCTTGAAACAGTCAAGTAATGGACTTCTAGTTTAAATGACATTGATACTCCTTTTCTTCTGATGTACTACCATATAATTATTATGAATAAAAAGTAGATTAGTAGTAAATGGTGTGCGTTTTCTCCCCATTTGTTTTTGCGTTGAGGAACTACGTTAAAATGGTCACTGGTGACCTCAATTTGTATTTAACTCTCATGGGGTGGGTTTTGTTTGAATCAGCTTCGCCCCTAGTCTATGTAACAGGCCACAGCAAATGCCATGGTCTATGATATGTGAGCAGATTCGCTGATTAATTAGGAAATTTTGCTAGCTCTATGATTCGATTTAAAGACACATGGCAGCTAGTGGGAGCGGTTTGCTGGATGCCATGGGTTTTGCTGGAGGCCTCTTGACCTCCAGATTTTGACCAATCAGCGAGCGCTTTCTTTATCGGGTCTTCGGTCATTCACCCGTTGCGCGTCACAGACAATGGATACAAAAAACTGTGTCACGCGCTCTGTATCATGTTACGGGGTAATGCGCCCAGCTGTTGTATTACAAAACACTGCATTCGAATTGACCAATCAAACCATTTAGTCCTGATTTGGGAATGAAAATGACGTCACGATATACTTGCAGTAAAGTCGACTTTGATTGGCTGGCGCACAGCTTGCATATATCTGCATGTCTAGACATATCAGACGTTATACATGACTTCTTTGGTTCCGTGGATAACGGGTGATACTCGGACTACTTCACCCCATGGCATCCAGCAAACCGCTCCCACTAGCTGCCATGTGGCTTGAGATCGAATCATAGAGCTAGCAAATAGGATCCAAGGAGTTCGAACTTCAAAATTTAAAGGATGGTCGCCGCGCTCGAAAGCAACAATAGAAAGCACTGGCGGCCAGCTTACTCAGTCGAGTCTGAGTATCACCCGTTATCCACGGAGCCAAATCCTGGAGAACATCTGACATGCAAATTTATGCAAGACGCGCGCCAGCCAATCGGAGTCGACTTTACTAAATCGTGACGTGATTTCATTCCTAAATCAGGACTGTATTGAGGCCAATCCAGTCAGAAGGCAGTTTGCAGCAATTTTGTTAATTTCATCTTTTATTCATCTTCAATGATCAAATTCGACCTTTTGTATTGTAAATGTATTCGTTTAACGTTGCAACCATGGTGAAATCCGAATAATTAGATCATAATATTCACAGCGCTCAGCAGTTCACTTTGGTTTTGCATTGGCCTATAGTGGAACTTGAGTGGACGGCTTTTATGTGGACTAAAATATTGTGAGAATTAAAAACATTGAAACTGCGGTTATGACGTTATAGGGGGCTAAAGGCGTAATATAATTTCCAATTTTAGCATATCCCAGCATACAGTAACCTATGGAACTAGGATGATGTACGTTTGTGGACAAACATGGCTGTTTTGGCAAGCTGTTACTGTATTTTTATGTCATGTTTTTAAATGATGATACAGACAGGTGCAGTAGATAATAGTCTTTGAAATACGGTTTCTGGAACTTGCAGTGGACGGCTTTTCTGTGGTCTAAATTGGTGTGAGTATTAAAAGCATTGAAACCTATCATTAGTTGCGTAGTGACGTCCAACTAGCACGGCCTGCACGGGGCTATTATACAAATAATGAATGTTTTTGAGTGCAATGGTAAGAATGATTTCATAAGGTGACAGATGAAATGTTCCATTCCACGAGGCGAAGCCGAGTGGAATGGAACATTTCATCTGTCACGGAATGAAATTATTCTTTCCATTGCACGAACGTGAAACACTCATTGTTTGTTTTATATAACACCTGAATAAATCCTTTCATCTGATTGGTTGACTTTTGATTTTAAAAACTGTTTAAAAGTTCGACAAGTTCATCATATTAAATTTATGCAAACTGTTCAACAGGTTAAGGACAATCATGTTCAATTGATCTCGATTTAAAACAGCGCCACCACCAGCAGCAGTGACACCGTGCAATAGAAGTTCTATTCACCGTGCAATACGGAACCTCCATTGCACTGTGCGTTGCTAATTTTATTATGGTTGGGACGAATAATTCAATGACCTTTGATCAAAGATCCACCAATCAGATGACGGGGATTTATGCAGGTGTTGTATAAAAATAGGATAATTTCCATTTTAGGCATATCCCAACATATCCTATGGAACTAGAACGATGTATGTTTGTGGATAAACATCATTATTAATGGCTGTTTCAGCAAGCTGTTACTGTGGGGATTTTTTCAGTCATGTTTTAAACTGACAATACATACATGTACAGTATAAAATTGCAGAGTGTATATGATGAGGACAAAAATAGTTATGCAGACATACATGCAGGTCAGTCGTAGAAAAATGAACATTGAATGGGACGTCACGTTATGTGATGACGTCAATATGACGTCACTTCAATATTCATCTATAACACATCCCGGTCTAGATACATACCAATTTCAACCCAATTGGACCTTTAGTTCACATTACAGTGGACCACTGGTTTACCGGAAGAAAGGGTCACGTGATTTTGCACGTATCATCACTGAAAAATGAAGATCTTTTATTATTTTATCAACTCCCGTAAAAAGGAAAATCTGATCTGTCACAATATTGGTTTTATATTGATTTTCAAAGATTAAATCTAGAAATCGTTGTCTGCTTGTAATCTGATGATGACGTCATCGTGCCGTCATTACGTCATTAAGCAGATTCTGTGCGTAATTGTATTGGCTGGTGCGTTTGGCTGGACAGGAATCACCAGCGCCACCATGGATTTTGCTCTCGGCTTTATTCCTGGTAAGATACAGACATTTTCCCCCAAACTTTGCGTTGATTTCAACTTTATTTAAATTGATACCTTTACATGACATCGGTATTCGACCGAACCCTTTCCTCTCCTCTCATTAGAATGTTATCTTTTCCGTTACTCTCTTTCTAACTCTTTTGCAATGTGGCCATCTGTTAAGATGCATACTTCTATTAACAGAGATATGCATGAATGTATCTTTTTGTATTCATATACCAGAGTTGTGATGACTCGAGTCAATGACTCGACTCGAGTCCGATTCGAGTCACATCATTTTTGGCGACTCGACTCGACTCGAGTCTCTGCAAGCAAATGACTCTATTCAACTCGAGTCCCTCATCAAAAAGACTCGACTAAACTCGCCTCGAGTCGAAGGCTAATAACACTCGAGTCCCAAACCTGCACGAAAATATATTAAGTTTGCAGTGACTTGCGGTACAAAGTTATTTATGTTCGCGTACTTCGCGTTACCGTCAAGTTATCAGGCAACGGTGGAACACACCATATACATGTACATACACATGTATAATACACAGTGTCTAGCTAATAAAAGCCAAATTAATACAAAGTACATCTAGCTTCAATTAGAAATAATATCCTCTTGAGTGTCGACTCCCCGGATGGTGTCTACGGCGCCAATTTTTGTAGTAAACCACGCTGATGGTAACTGAGGTACTGAGGCCTGAGCCACAACGGGTTCCTACAGGGGCAGGGGCAAGGAGAAGTAATGGAGACACACTGCATGCACACAAATTGACTGTGACCCTCTCAGAGTATTTGTTTGAACTTGAAGGTCCACAGAACAGAAAATCAACCCCCCGCCCACAGCTGATAAGTTGCCTACTTTTTGCGAAATAGTAAGTCACCATATGCACATGCATGCATCACAAGTATTCCCATACATGGCCGTGGAATTTGCTGTCCTGGTCGTGGTGATGCGACGCTACAAGAGGTCGATCACCGTTTACTTCACGTACATATCGGTTCGCCATAATAAACACGTAAACAAGGTTGTGGGCATCCAATCCCTTCTTTTGGTGGTTAAAACTATATCTGTAGGTAGTTTTTGTTCTGATTATTGTTTCATAATATGAGGAGATCATCAAAGACATATACAATGTACAAAAACCACGGGGAAGACGATATAAATAGGCACATTTCTATGGCCTAATTGCTTCCGTAGCGCGCGTGTACGTCCAGCTCACGCGTGGTGATGAGGCTCTGCACGGATGCAGAACTCGCTTGAAGAGGCACTCTCTCAAGTTTAAAGGGACTATATCTATAATCGTCTTTCCCACTTTGTTCCCACATTTATAATAAATATTTCAAGCAGTTCGTGTTGCATTTCCCTTTCCCTTGTCCTTTCGTCAAAATGTGTGTAAATGTAATTCTGATACCAACTTAACGGGGGGGGGGGGGGGGGTGGGGGGGTAAATTATGGAGGGGGGGGGAGTTAACCCGGTCCGACTTCTGGCAGCACTGTTGATTGTCACCCGAAGCTTGTCTTGCGCCTAGGCGCTTCTGTCTTCTACCATCGTTGACATTATTGAACCAGCCGCTCACCTGTTTCAGGAGGCGTACCATCAATAATTGTTTCTTCTTTTTGGTGCCCCATCAGCGCTTTAAAGCAAACTTTATAATTTTTTTTGATTGATTGATTGATAGCATTGTCCTGGATCAGAGGTCAGTCCCGCCAATACAAGCCTTTCGTTGCAAATAGAGTTGCCGAGATTCAGGGATGTACCGATCTGTCTGACTGGAGGCATATTCCCGGTGAATGTAACATTGCAGACAAGATCTCCAGAGGTGCCGGCGCTGAAGGTAGCAGACCAGTAAATAAACGTCCATAGACCCCAATGGTAAATGCTCCCACTTCAAAAATTCGGGAAAAATACTCACAACTCTCCAAGGTGTTCGAGACACACATCAAATTAAAGCTTATTTCATCATCTTTCATTTTCTTTTCAATCTTCGGGGGGTCAACTGATGACTTTTAGGAGAAATTTCCAGCTGAAGATGATCACCCCTGAAAATAGTCCTGAAGCCCATCGCCATTTTGAAAAACGATGCCTACACTCCATTGCAAAATAAAGCGCTTTTAGGGTCCACATTACATCCAAATTACACAGAACTGCAAGCTCCCAGTCCTGTGCACGGCTTCCACCCATATTTTTTACAAACCCTCAAGTTCATGGCCCAGAGCATGCTCAAATACTGAAGATTTTGAGGGCATGCAAATCGTGATTTGGCCGGCGTAGGCAATTTCGGACCGATTTACTGGTCTGCACCCTGAAGATCTGGAAGTTAAGGGGAATGGGGATGGGGACCAGGGGTGCGTTTTGGCGGTCATAACCAAGAATTGGTTCGGTGGTTTCTCTTTGGTTAATTGTTTTGGGGTTTTGAGTACTACATGATCATGCGTAATTCTAACCCAATTAAAATTGCTGAAGAAATTCACCGACAAGAAACTACCGAACCAATTCTTGGTTATGACCGCCAAAACGCACCCCAGAATTTCTCAGGTGGCCAAAGCTCATCGCAATGAAGGGCGCCCTCAAGAAAGTGTTGCAACTTTGTTTCACCACGGATCTTACACAGTCGGAGGATGTCCAATTGTTCTGAGCTGCAGTACTGCAAAATGCATTGAGCGGACTTGCCTTAATTGGTTACACGCCGTGATAATGGGCATTAATACCCGTTGGCTTGCAATCGCGAATTTTCCAGGTGTGCCATTGTGTCGGGTTTTTGCATGACATCTGAAACGAAAATATTCATAAACTGTAGGCAAAACTACTCATTATGTAGGACATTCTTCCAAAATTGTTTAAAAAATTAATACTTCAGGTTATTACAGATGGTATTGTGCAGTTTTTGTTGTCACAGATCAAGTATTTACCCCGAAAATAAACGTCAAATTTCGAGAAGAACACCGTTTACTTCAAATTTCTAATTAGGCTTTCATTAAGAAGTTTTAGACAAATATGATCCCGAACTAATGAAACAAAAGCATTGTTCATTTTAAAGCTTAAGATATTGCGCTCGGTATTAACAGGGTTATGCAGTTATCACTTATCAGAATTCAATAATAAAGACAAAAACGTAGACTCACGAATATTCAAAAATATAATTAGCTGGCTTGACTGACCTCGACACCAGATCGGGCGCAGAACCATGCAAATCGAAAAGCCACCGCGGGCAGTGGTCATTTTATAAATTGACAAGTATTCATGGTATTTGTCACCAGTACGGGCCGTTTTAACCAGGGGTTTAATTGGCCGAGTCCGTGGTTTCACAGCGAAACAGTAAAGATTCGCCTCATTGGGTTGCACACAGCGGTCCGCTCATTGGCTCGTGTACAAATATGTATAGGTCAGGATAGCGAAAATTGGGAAGAGTACAAATCCCATAATATGCATGTATTGTACAATACAATTTACAGGCTGCATGGAAGCGGGTGTACGTTGCTCTAGCTTTTATTTTCCAGGGAAGGGCAGTAAGTTACAACGCTCAACAGTGTAATAACATGTACAAGTCTTTGACATAAAACTTGGAACTAAGTTAAATGGAGTAGACGGGTGTTTGTGTCGACAAAATTTGCGTGAGTATTAAAAGTATTTATGATAGCGTATTTACCCAGTAACTTTGGTCCCATTTGCAGGGACACTTATACGTCGGGGGCGTCATTTTCTGGAGAGAGCCTGGACACGAAAATGACAGTTGAATCGGTCAAGGTTTCAAACAATTGAAACTGACTGTTTGCCTTCCCAAATTTTCGAGCGGCTGTGAACCCCTCGTAGAGTGATTATGTTAAAATGGCACTGGTGGACGTTGTTTCCGAAGATAATAGACGAATTGTCTCTGGGTGAGCTAGTGTCTCGAGTAACTATTTTTTCATTCACTCATAAGTCACTGTTGTCTTTGCCCAATACGTCAGAGATCGATAGCAATGGTTACACTGCTGTAGAGCGCCCTTGCACCATTGTTTTGTGGTCTTTTTTTACATTCTCGCGCTAGAACGAGAAGGCGCGCTGGTCTTATCATGCCGTTAGATATGCAAGATCCACTATAGCCCCATAAATGTGGCCTATTTACTGGACTGCCTCCGTAAACATAGGCCACACGTCCACATGTACAAAAATCGTGTCGACTTTGCCAAATTTTGATTTTCACATTAAGGCTTAGTTTCTAGGGTTTTTTTTGCTTTAGAAGCATACTCACCCTCTTTATAGGCTAATCAGAAAGTGCTGCCTTTTTCAGATGTATATTTTTCGTGAAATTTCCAGATTCATTTTTACACGTTTGCGTATCAAAATTTCAACATGAAATTTCACAAAAATTAGACATCTGAAAAAGGCAGCACTTTCTGACTAGCCTATAAAGTGGGTTAGTATGCTTCTAAAGCAAAAAAATCCTACAAACTAAGCCTAAATGTGAAAATCAAAATTTGGCAAAGTCGACACGATTTTTGTACATGTGGACGTGTGGCCTATGTTTACGGAGGCAGTCCAGTAAATAGGCCACATTTATGGGGCTAGATCCACTATCGTTTTGGGAATGGGCCAAGACAAAAATTCACTGTTGCCTGACTTCTTTTTTTAAGTCTTATAAATCGTAGTGTTTCATCAACAAGCATTAAGTTTCTATTTATTCTCCAGAAAGCTGTGGGCGATCAGCAATAGGCAAAAGCGGTATTCTAGACATGACCAATGAATAGAATTTCTGTCATTCCAACCAGAACAACCATGGGTTCAGCAGGCGGAGTTACTGAAGGGGGTCGTGCAGGTTGGCTAGTTGTGCTCGCCTTGTGGACCAGACTTTTCCTTATGGTTGGAGTCCTGAAATCTATCGGTATGATGATTCCCTTGCTGCAAGATCAGTTTAATACCTCCACGTGGATCATGGGCTGGATATCCTCCATCATCGGCACTTCCACTGGAATATCTGGTAGGCTTCGAAAGAGAAATTCAAATCAGAATCCACCCTCGAAGTTTGTCTATGCAAGATCAAGACCCTGAAAAAGCAATATGCAGTGCAGGGGTATTTTCTAACAATCTAGCAATTACATGTCACAGTCGATCTGGTCTCCCGGAAATATTTTAACAGGAGCTTCTACATGTCACCTGCGTCGGTCGGTCTGTTTGTCTGTCTGTCCCGAAAATTGACCAAAAGTATGGTGTTCCAAGTGGCTTCAGCGTCGCATTTTTCGGCATCGCATTTTTAAGCTCTGGCATGGATCGTTTTGATCGATTTCTTGCAAAACGTCTTGTAACACGGCCATAGCTTAATGTCCACTCGCACTTCTTTTGTCTTAACCTCACCCAGCGGTTGCTGGCCAATTAAGATTTATATCGGGGGTTAATTATCAAATTCTGTACTCCCTTGGAGGACCCTAAAGAAGATGCCAATTACGCGAATGAGGATTCATCACCAATGTCAGCCAGTAGGGAGCTGAATAATGTATTGAACAGCAACGTTCATGCACCTGTGTTACGTAATACAATGTAGTTTGATATATTGCTTGATTTTTTAACGCTGTCGGGTAAAAAACAAAGTTACTTTCAAAGCTAATAAAGGGTCGGGCTCCCGAAAACAAAAGAAGTAAATAAGGTCGTACATCAGGAGTAAATTATCAGCATAGGGTGAACATGTTTTGTTGAGATGTAATGAGCAAGTGTTTGTCACGTACTCTTCACAGGAATTTTTGCGAAACTGATCGGCAGACGTTTCGGCCCCGGTTACGCGATCATGACGTGTGGTGTCATGATCAGTGCCTCGGTCATTATTGCGTCGTTTGCAACCTCTCCTGGCCATCTAGCGTGTGTTTTTGTTGTACTTTTGGGTAAGTAATGTTTTCTCCTTATACCCTTTTGATCCATCACGACACGATCTCTGTGGCAAAAACAGGCCCGTAGGAAGCTAAAATTTATTGGTCAGGCTCATCTCAGGGCAGGGAGCTCAGTTGATGCGAGCGCGTAGCGCGAAGCCCTAACGGCGTGGGGTTCGGGGCCCGCTTAAGGACCCCGACAAATTTTGGATTCCAGACGCTCTGTGGTGCGATCTGAGGCAATTTCTGACCACTTTAACCTTTTTTTGAGCTATCATAATTTAAACATCATTTTCAAGTTTGGAGTCAATTATCTTTTTATATATATATTTTTTTGCGTGAGAAATCCCATGTCGGCGTTAAAGCATGAGAATAACCTGAAATAATCTTACGCTCAATGTGTTAGAGTTGGCAGGCCTGCAGAGGCAGATCCAGGATTTGACCCAATCCCTTCCAAATGTAACCAAAAGCCACTCCCCCCCCCCCAACACTATGCATGTATCTATGCATGCATATTATCTTCGTAATTTGTACAAGACACATTTTGGAGCACTGCACATCTGCAAGTTTAACCAGTATATGTCACTTGATGAACTTTACATAGGATTTGTCAAAATTTAGCCTATCGTAGTGAAAAGTTTTGGACATTTGCTCATCGCAAAACTTTTTTTGGATCTAGATACTCTGTAGTGCAATCTGAGGCATTTCCTGGCCACTTTCCCCTGACTTTGAAATGTATTTGTGTTAGTCATCAAAGATGATAAATTACATCACAAGCATCACATCAAAACTGTAGCTTGACTCTCTTTCTAGATTTGTGCTCTTTAGCTTGATCCATGATTGTGTTTACAGGGAAAGGGCGTAATCATACATGTCGCCATGCACTACACGTTAAGTTAAATGGAATTTAACCATGAATTTTAGTTTTCCTCAGACTTGTACTTGTGTTTTTCTTAAAAAGAAGAGGTTTTGTAGCTGAGAAAATAGCAAGGAAGAACCGGTATTGTGCAAAGCGCAAGCAAAATTCAGGGAATAATCCGTTGATACTAATATCTTGTTGGAAAATTCCAAAATCATTTCAAGAAAGTTGCCGCCGTGAATCAGAGTTTATGAAGGGACGGAAAGCGGGATTTGCTATCAGCATCAACAGGGTTGTTCCTCATTATTTACCTTTTATGGGATGTGAATCAAATTGGAAGACGAGAGGCTCTGCCGGCTGATGTATTTTTTAGAAATTTAATTCACCGGTATGGATACAGTGTACGTAAATGATTGAACTGCCGAGCGTATTTGTTAAGGTTTTTTTTTTTCTAAAAAAAATACATCAGCTCGCAGAGTCTCTCATCCTCCAATTGATTCACATCCCATCAGGTAAAGAATGACGAACGGTCTTGTTGATAGCAAATCCCACTTTCCGTTCCTTCATAAACTCTGATTCACAGCGGTAATTACTTTCTTTGAATGATTTTGGAATTTTCCAACAAGATATTAACTTTAACGGATTATTCCCTGAATTTTGCTTGCACAAAACCGGTTCTTCCTTGCTATTTTCTCATTTAGAAAACCACTTCTTTTTAAGAAAACACAAGTACTAGTCTGAGGACAACTAAAATTCATGGTGGCGGCTAATCGCCATTCCGTTTAACTTAACATGTAGGCCTAGTGGCGACATGTATGATTACGCCCTTTCCCTTTAAACACACACACAAAAACAAAACAAAACACAAAAACAACACAAGAAAAAATTGGGGGAGGGCAACGGGGGCCATGTCCCCCCCCCCCAAAAAAAAAAATGGAAGCCATTTTTTTTTTCAGTGTCGTCGCAATAGAGGCAGGTACTGCATACACCACCATCTTTTTCTTTAAAAAAAATTGTTAAAGTGGTCAGAAATTGCCTCAGATCGCACCACAGAGCATCTAGAAACCAAAAAAAGAAAAAATCCAGCCTTGGGGCCATGCAAGGCCTTTTATACATTAAAACAAAAAGATATGCCTGTCATTATTGGTACGGCCATAGCCGTACCTGCCGTACCGCTTCCTACGGCCTTGGGCAAAAACAAACAAACATTGCTTTAAGGTAATGAACACCATTTGCAAAATAAAAAAATGTGTTTTTTCCTATTCAAGAAACAACAATTCAACAACTATTTCCTCTTTTTTTGTTCTCTCAAAATTACAGCATACAAGGCGCAATTTGGTTACACAGGATGCTTGATCTTATCGTTTACTGGGCCTTATGCACTAGTGGAATATTTCATATTTTGACCTTTTCCTCTTTTTTTTCATTTTGCAAATGGTTCCCACTACCTTTTAATGCAATCCGTCACGGCCCATATACTTTGCACTCAGCAGCCATATAGCATTAAAAGTTGGTTTATTTCTGCTTTTTTAAAGCTCTGCATGGATATGGCAGGGGCTTAATTCTACATGTCACTTTGTGGTCGGTCGGTCTGTCGGTCCCCGGAAAATTTACCAACAACGAGCCCCTGGGTTTCCCATAAAATACCAAATTTTAATTTAAAAACAAAAATAATATTAATTAACAAATTAGATACTTAACAAAAAAAAGTTGTACCCAATCGTTAAGTTGTTTATGAAAATGTTGTAAATGGAGGCAAGATATGTGCAGTAATGATGTAGTCACGTGGTATTTAGCGCGCTATAAGCTTACGGGCTTCAGTCTGTTGGTCAACTTTCAGAACGTGATTTTCACGTGGGACGGCCACGGCCCGGGGTGGTAGGCACTCACAATCATTTCATGCAAGACTTTCAATGCAAGATTGCCACAGTTTATACGTTTATATTTTCTTGACACAACAGTCTGGGGTAATCCATTTTTATGCGACTTGAAACAATCATATTACTCATGTGCGTTTACACAAATTCACCAAGCTATTAACATATAGCAACACCCAATGGCGCAGCGGAAGAGCCTATCACTCGCTGGCAGAAGGTTCGTGGATTGGTTCCAATCAAGATGTCCACTTGTTTTTTCTTGTTTTTTCCCCAACAGTCTTTGATTTTTTTCCCCTAGAACTGTTATTTTCCCCCTAGAACTGTTATTTTTTAAGTCGGATACTGATTTTATAGCAGAAAAGTCCTTTTTCTTTTCCAAATCGGGGCTTCAGAGGACTTATTTTTAAAAGAAGTCCGGAATTTCATTAGGCCTATTAAAAATGCCCGTAAATTTACGGACTCCGTAAAGTGAAATATTCCGTATTTTCGGCGTAATTATACGGATCTTTCCGTAAATGCAAATATTAATTATGCTAATTAGCGTGATTACAATCAACCACATCGACCCAAACACCTACACATAATATAGTACATGATAAAATCCATTACACTCAACGGAAAACATTGTGCAAATTTCCATGCTAGCCGTCTTATATCTCACGATTGCGGACGTTATATGACTTGCTCGCCTTTTCATAGCAGCAGTCGGGTTTCTAGGCAGCCAATCAGCGTTGGGATTGTAGGCAGCCAATCATCGTTAGTGGGTTGCCGCCAAAATGCTAGGCCAATCCGTAGGCAGGAATACGTATTGATAGATGTGTGTGTCATTTTATGTCGCGGCTTTAAATAGTCCAGGCAAAATACTTCATTTTTTGAGTGAACCTCAAACAAATTGCAACAGAATTTTTTTCACCACAGTGCATTTCTGTAAGGTCCCTAAAATGACATACTAAAAGTCCAAAAAAATCCAAGTGGTGGAAATATGCCTAATTTGCATAAATCCAAAATGGCCGACAATTTTAGGACTTTCACATTGATTTGGTCATATTTCTTATACTCGATAGCTTTTTCAGGTACTTAAAACGACAATTGTAGTCCGTTTACATTGATTTCATAATTATTCTAGTCCTAAGTAACTTTCAAGATCCCCATGTTTCCCAAATTTGCCATATGCCGTATAATAATTTGCATAAATGCAATAATAAAATAGCATAAATTAAAGTTAACATTATGGCTGTCATGTGTGGACATGTCACAATTGAATTTTCCTGATAATCCAAGTTCAGTTATTTAATACATAAATATCACACCACAGTGCATTTCTATAAGGCCCCTAAAAAAGGTCCAAAAATCCAAGTGGTGGAAATATGCCTAATTTGCATAAATTCAAAATGGCCACTTAAACCATGATTTTCATATTGATTTTGCCATAACTCTCGTCCTACATTGCTTTTTGGGGTACTTTAAACAACGATTTGTCCTTTTACATTGATTTCATCATTATGCTAGTCCTGGGTACCTTTCTAGGTCCCTATGCATGTTTCCCAAATTTGCCAAATGCCGTATAATAATCTTCCCATACAAACGGACAAACCGCCAGCACCACCATCACTACTTGAGGTCATCAGATGTGGGTGTAAGAAGCGTTCTTTCGTTTTGGACGGTTAGTCATGACGGTTCGTGACAGCTCGTCATGACGGTCGTCCTGGCAAATCACATTCCTCGCTAAAACGAAGGGGCGTGATCAATGGATCTTGGCCAATCAACTGGCTCCTCTGTACGGTAAAGTTTGTTGTTCGGGAATAAAGACTTTAGATTATTATTCAAATAATTATGGAACACACACACCTACCGGCCAGGGACTGCCACGTCGAATGCCATGGGCGTCGCCAGGATTTTTTTCTAGAGGGGGGTAATGCACATTTCGCCCCCCCCCAAAAAAAAACATACCTGTACTTTTGCCAGCATATTCTCAATTTATCTTTTTTCGAGGGTGGGCATGGGGGCATTTACCCACCACTTTTTTGATGATAAAAAGTAGTAATTAAATAGTAAAGTCTGTCAGGGGCAAGTGTGGCCCATTGGACCATGGGCAGCGCCGGCATTCAGAGAATATTTCTATTCCCCCTGGATGGGATGCTAGTCCATCGCAGGTTACTCCACAGCTAATGCCGGCACCCATTTATACTCCTGGTTGGAGAGAGGCAAGTGTGGATGAAGTCTGCCCAAGGACAAAACATATGACCAGCAGCTGAATTCGAACTCCTGACCCTCTGATC